CCCCCCCCGCCCTCCGCCTTCCCCAGACGGTTCCCACACAAAAGGAGGGGGGAGCGGGGGTCTTGCGCATTAGCATGAGAATGGCCCCGCTGCCGGTAAGCGGGGGAGGGAGGGAGGGCAGCAGCAGGCTCGCATGATGTCACCCCCATCCTGCTCCTGCGAGCCCCCTCCCCCTCTTGATTGGCGGTGGGGGGGGATGTGGGGGAGCCTCCCAGCGCTGGGAAGGCGGAGGGAAGCCTGGCCGAGGAGGCAGCTGCAGGAGGCCAGGAATAACCCACCAGAAATAGCCCCCAGTGCCTCCCACTCCCCCCCTTTTCCTCTCTGTCTTGCAGGACCCTCCTGGAAGCCGAGAGCACCAGGCTGCAGCTGCCGGCAACGGATCTCCAGCTGGCCAGGGGGCTCAGAGGTAGGCCTGGGGAGGGGGCTTGGAGCCACGGAAGTCTGGGCCACCTTCTCCCCCTACAGAGCTGCCTTTCAGCCGGGGGAAGTTTGCTGAGCCAGAAAGCAAACTCCCAGTTTGTATGTCCAGCCTCCCCCCCCCCCTCATAATTTCTGCTTCTGGCAGGAAAATGAGCTACTTTTCAGAAAGGGGGGCGGCCAGATAAACCCATGGCTGTTGGGGGGGGGGAGAGGAACCCTTCCTCCCCTCAGGATGCTGTGCAGACCTTTGCGGAGAGGCTCTGCTCCCCCTCCACAGATGGGACAAAGTGGGGCAGATCCGCTTGGGGGATTCTCTGCTTCCACTTGAACCCAGCAGCCGTGGCTTATTCTCCCTTTCTGTTGCTTGCAGATGTCACAACCGAATCAACTCTCAGCAGACTGCAGGGGCCGTCGGTGGATCGGGGCCGCACGGGGAGCCGGGATGTCCGGCCCAGCCCTGCCACCCTCCCGAAGCTTCGGGGGTTCCAGAGCAAAGTCGAGTCGCCCTCCTGGGGGGCCAAGACCCCGAGCTCGGCAGCCAGGGAGTTCCAAAAGGCCAACGCCTCCCTCCGGCACTCCCAGGCCGCCAAGAGTCCCGATGGGCTGTTGCCTCCGCCCAAGGAGCCGTCCGCCTTCCGTCTGGATTCCTCCTCCCAGCACAGCCAGAGGGTGACGGTCACCCACTCAGAGAGCCTCCTGGCCCAGTCCGTCTTCTGCCCCCGACCCCCGCTGGCTTTCAACTCCGTGAAGGAGGAGGCTTCGGCAAGGTCCCCGGGGAGCCTGGGCCGAGGAGAGGAGAGCAAAGAGGAAGCGAAGAGGGAGGCTGAAGGGAGGGGAGAGGAGGAAGAAAAAGCCACTGGAGAAAAGGAGGAAGAGGAGGAGGAAGAAGAGAGGCAGCTCAGCCGTCAGCCACCAGCAGAGAGAGAAGTCCTAGACGGGCCTTTTCTGAGCCAGATGGTTACCGAAGCCGTAGAAACGGCCATCCAGGAAGTGAAGCCCAGAGAGACCCACCTGGAACCCAGCTTGCTCCAGGAGTTGAAGAGCCAAGCAGGTGTTTCTTCCGACAGCTCTTCCTCCCTGGGAGAGGAGAACGGCCTTCCCCCGAGCAGCACCGAGGGGCTGGAGAAGGCCCTGCAAGACCACCGAGGGGAGGGACAACCGACCGACCCCCTGGAGGAGTTCCAGGTCTGTGAAGACTTTGCAGAGGTCAACGGTGGGCAGGAGGCCTGGGCTGAGCTGCAGGGAGCTGAAGAGGCTTGGGGGGCCCTGGAGGCAGAGGCCCCCTTGGCCCTGGGAGCAGAACTGCTGAGGGCAGAAAGGATGGAAGGAGGAGGAGGAGGAGATTTGCTCCCTGGAGAGGCCGATGAAGAAAATGGGTCTCCAGAATGGAAGGAGAGGGAGGAGCCTGCATTATTGGGGGGGACGCTGGGCAGCGCAGTGGGAGAAGCAGCTGAGAAGTCGGAGTTTGCCACGGAGGCAGATGCCCATGTGAACGGCAGCCAGGAAGGCTGGGAGCTTGGTGGCCCCCCAACGGATATCCTCGAAGGAGCCCCAGAAGGGAACATGGAGGAGGTCTATGGAGGGGCTGAAGAGGTGGAGATGCTCAGCCCAGAGGATCTCTCCGAGAAAAGGGAGCCCCCCAGGGAAGACGACAAGGGTGGTCTGCAGGCAGAGCCCCTGGAGGTGGAAGGAAGCCCAGCCAAGGAGGACTGGTCAACCACCACCCATACAGCATTGTCCGCGGGTGACCACCAGAAAACGCTCTTCCCGGAGGAGGAGCAAGAGACCTTTGAGAGCCGAGAAGAGCTTCTTCACGAGGCCGATTCTGCTCTGCCAGAGGGTGAGGGGAAGGGTCCAGATGCCACGGAAGAGGCCCTGCCTGGGAGCTCAGGTCCTGCCGTAGATGAAGATGGCCTCTTGGCAGATGAGCCAAAGGGGGCCGAGAGCAGGGAAGAGGAGGAAGAGGAGAAGGGAGGAGATGTTGACGGGCCTCTTCCCACAGAAGACAGAGGAGATGAAGGGACAATGGAGGCCGAAGGCTACTTAGATTTGGAGGCACCCAAAAGTACCTTGGAACTGGGTGCGACCGTCCCCGGAGAGGACGCGGCCATCCTCCAGCTGCGGGAGACCCTTGGGGAAGACCAGAGAAGGGAGGTGGCTGGAGGAGGAGGCCTGGAGCCCCTGGAGGAACAGGAGGGAGGAGGAGGATGGCTCCCAGAGATCCCCTTGCAAGCCGAAGGGAGCAACTGGGAGGAAAGAGACTTGGTGTCAATCTCTGGGGGGCCAGGAAGTGAAGACCTCATGGAGGTCCTGCAGATGGAAGAGGTACATGGTGCTGTGGTGGCCGAGAACTTGCTGCAGAAGGAGGAAGGGGGCCCCGAGGACTCCGAAGACAAAGGACGGGGGCTGGACGATCGCCAGGCAGGAGAGCAGCCACTCGGGACTGAAGACCCCTCCAGGGAAGAGACCACCTGGCCGGAGGAAGCCCTAGAGTTGGCCGAGGCTCCTGCAGAAGACTCCATTCCCCACAGGGAGGAGGATTCTGGGACTGAGGAGACCCTTGGACATTCAGACTTCCTCCCAAATGGCCCGAGGGAGAGAGGTGGGACTGGGGAGGAGGATGTCCAGCTAGGCCAGCTGGCTTCAGACCATGCACTGACCCTGCCTGAGGCTCCATCCCTGCCTTCCTTGGAGAGCGAAGAAGAGGCCCCCCTTTTAGAAGAAGACACTGCAAGCCTTCTGCTGGTCAAGGGAGACGGAGGGGAGGAAGGCCCCCCAGGGGGAGAAAGGGGCTGCAGTCCACAGGAGGACGGGCCCTGCTCAGAAGAGCCTCTGGCCGCGGAGGGTTCGGCAGAAGCTGTGATCCAAAGACAGCCGTTCACAGCAGACGGGGAGGATCGGGGCCCCGGAGAAGCTGAGCAGGAAGGACTGGAGGGGGCCCCTGGCCTGGAGGCAGAAGAAGACCCCTGGCAGGAGGGTGAGGCGGCCAAAGGGCCAGTGGTCCCCACGGAAGAGGTGGCCGCAGAGCTTCGTTCAGAGCCAGGCGATGGCTTTGGGTCCCCAGCGGACGGTTGTGACCCCAGCTATAGCCAGCAGGAAGAGGAGGAGGAGGAGGAAGAGGAGGAAGATCAGGGGCCCTTGGGATCTAGTGACCAAGAGCCTCCGGATGTGGGCCCTGCAAAGGTTTCACCCCTGACCAGCGTCACTGATTTGGGAGAAATAGTGCTGGAGGGCGATGGGGCTGTGGAATCCGACACGCTGGGACCCTGTGAGGACGAATGTTTCCATGTCTTCGACGCAGAAGATCTGATCCAGCAGAAATTTGTGGCCGTGGAAGATCCCCCAGGAACCGGCTCCCCTGAGAGGTTCCCAGAGGAAGTCCTGGTGGGTCTTCCTCTAGAGAGCAAGGGAGACCCCAACATTCTGGAAATTGTAGAACAAGCTCTGGAGTTCAACCAAGAGTTGATGAAGGCAGCTGAGGAAGAGCGGGGAGGGCCGGGCAAGGAGGCCCAAGGCTCCCCAGAAGAAAGGTCTCCCCCTGCACATCTGGACCAGGGACCAACCCAGGTCCCCACAGAAGCTCCGGAAGGCTCTCCTCCCATCCCGAGGGAAGCCCACCCATCGGGGGAGAGCCAGGCTAACGGGCTTCAGGAGGAGCCGATCTTGGATGAGTTCCCAAGCGAACTTCTCAACGGCCTTGGGCAGGGCAAGGCAGACCCCCCTCCTGAAGATGAGGATTTCATCAAGGAAGTGACTATCGCCCCACAGTTCTGCCCAGAGGACAGCCCCACCAGGGCAGAGACCCTAAGCCAGAGTCCGCCCCCAGTCCCAGCCGGTGAAGAAGGGTTTAGAAGTGGGGGCACCAGCCCTGAGGTTCTCGAGAAGGTCTCGCTGGACCAGGAGCTGCTAGATGAGGACATCCTAGATGACCTGCGGCAGAAGACCTGTGTGAAAGGAGGCAAGGATACCAACCTGGAACCCATGCCCTTCCTCTTCGGGGACGAGATTCGGCGCCAACCCTTGGAATTCCGGCCGGAAGGGGACCTGGATCTCCAGCCCTCCGAAGACGACTGAAAGGTTCCCCCTTGGGCCATTAATCCCAGCCGGTGACAAACAGAGTAATTCCTGTTAAACGCACCCCTCCTCTCTCAGACCCACCATTTCTTCCCCTTTTTTTGTACCTTCCTTCCTTCCTTCCTTCCTTCCTTCCTTCCTTCCTTCCTTCCTTCCTTCCCTCCAAATTTGAGTTAGCCCCATTGACAATCAAATGCTTGGGTAGGCAGCGTTTTCAGCCCTTTAACGTTTTCCATGGTAGATTTTGTTTAAAACACTTTTTTTTAAAAGAAAAAAGGCCGTGTCTGATAGCCTTTGTCTTCGCCTTAAGTGTAACCAGCAATTTGGCAAAACTGTGGTTGTTTTTTTTTAAAGAAAATGAAACGTTTCCTCTGTGCTCTAGTTCTGCCCAGCAGGGAAACGAGCTGCGTGGTCAGATCCAGTCTCCTACCTTATTTCTCTAAGGGAGGCACTCTGGAGCAGGAAACTTTTACGACGCCCTCTCCTGCCCGCCATTGTCCGGGTCAGAAGTGCTTCAGCTAGGGCAGAGTCTGTGTTTTGGCTGCAGAAACACCCAGAGTTCCCCCCCTAGAGCCTGCTGGCTGGGGAATTCTGGGAGTTGGAGTTGCCGAGGCTGAGACCCATGGATCCAGAGGGAGATTTCTTTCCGAGAGTGGCTCCTGTAACATGCCAGTGCCTTAATTTAGGAACACCTGATCTGATGCTGCTCCCTTTCTCGTCTCCTCTCCTTGATTTCCCAGGATTCCCGTTATCCACTCACCATTTATCTCGGGGGGGGGGAGGGAGTCAGGACACCCGTGTTGGCAAAGGTGCCCCTGCTTCTGCATGGGGCCGATCTAACAACCCCGGGAGAAATTAGCGGGCGTTTTGGTCCCTCGGCATGAACTCAGAAGCACCGAGGGACTCTGCCAGGGCACAGAAGCAGAGCCAAGCAGAGGTGTTTCCCCAAGTGTGGCTTTGATTCCCCCCTCCTCTCTTTTTAACGGCAAGGGTTCGAGCACCCACCCGAGCCCAGCCCAGCTTCAGAACATGGGCAGGGTTCCGCAGAGGAGACCGAAGGACGGGGCACTGAGAGGGATGCTCCAGAAACCGGTTCCAGGATCATTTCTCCCCCCCTGCACTCCAGTGCCTTCTGCAATAAAGTTAGGATGATTTAACAAAAAAAAAACACCTGAGCTCCAGTCGGTGCCTCTGAGACGCTAATAAAGGAAATGATTTCTTATCCTGAACAATCTCTGTCTGTCTTTTGCGTCACTTCTTCGAGCTTCATCCCGGGTTCCTTCGTGGGGAGGTGGCTGCCATGGGAGGTGGCTGCCAAGGGAGGTGGCTGCCATGATCGGCCCTACTGGGAAAAAACCCGGGGCACAAAGAGGCAGGGATGAAATGATTTTTAATACGCGCACAGAAGAGACATTTTTCTGTCTAATCTCCCCCTCCCCTCTCTCTTTACTAGCTCTGCTTTGCGGGTCGAATGGGAGATGCGTAGCAGCCGGGATTCCTGCCAAGGCAGGTGGGGAAGGGGGAAGAACCATGGGTGGATGGGTGGCCCCCTCCCTTCACCACGGGGAGAATTCTTGCAGATTCTTTTTTTTTTAATTGAAAATTTTAGAAAAAAAAAACTTTTACAAATGTTTACCTCCCCCCCCCTGCCCTTCCCGTTGTCTTTCCA